TACTATTAGTATTGGATTAGAATGATTAGATACTAATCTTCAATCATGTTTACTAATCAATACTAATCCCTTGGTTTTGGTGATCATCACTTCATGGGGCCCCAAGTCATGGAATCCTGCGTAGGACTGGGCGTTGCTGAGTCTCTTAGCAGCACCTTGGGTGGGGACGTGAGCAGATGGCTCAATTTATTGGCTAGGCATCCTAGACTAGATATTGAACTTTCCCAAAAACCTCACTAAACTGGATTCTACCTACTCCAGGACGAAAAAATAGATTGGTACCTGGTACATGAAACTAATCTCATCAGCCTGGACTAAAATTGCAAGTGCACGCAAGAATGAGAGGGGTCAATCCTCATCTTCCATAGATCGAAAAAAACGATCTTGAACTCATGTCCTCAGTTTTTTTTCCCAATCTTTGCCTTGTCTGTTCAGAACGGATCACAGTATTTGGATAATTTTTTTTGGGTCATCACAAGGGTTGCCAGGTCACCCATTCCATTGACAGAGTCAGTGTTTTGTTAATGGATAGACATCCAGTCTTGACTGGTGTGTCAAAGATTCCGCGATTGACAAATAGTCTTGTCTCAAGCCAGCCACGTCAGCCGGAACCATGGTGGAACTGACTCCAGCTCTGGTTTTTCCCCAGAAATCCGTGGGGATGATGGGACGGGTACAGCTTTTGTCTCCAGCATCGCCGAGTCGCAGGTCTCAGACTGGAATTGCACCTTTTGGCTCGGAAGCCGAGTCGCCGAGGGGTCCAGTGTTGTAAAAGGAGCCCTTATTTTGCCGAGATGGGGAGAACTGAACATGGTTTAACCATGACAGTTCATTAATTATGATGTGTATACATGTATATACATTTCAATGCACTAGTTCACTAGTAACTTTAGTGATGGACCGGCGGGGGAAAAGTGACTTAATGATGGGATAATCAGATATCCATAGATGATTGGTCCAGCTCTGAAGGACAATAGCGGTGACATATATAGTTACATTCATTATTTGCCCATAGATTGATATGAATTGAGAAAATATAGGGAGGCTAATCAACAAAAGGGTCACGTTGAGGTGCTCAGTTGCAGCCATGAGTCACCACCAGCATCATTAAGCATGGCGACCGATGGATCAATAGCTATGACACCATTATTTGGTGGGTGAAATGGTGAATCTCGATTTACCAGAATAATCTTTATAGAATTATCTTGATTTTTCCATATGTTCCTATGGTTTACCAGCTATTTCGGGGTGAAGATATGTAAAAACCAAAACGGCCAGGGTTTTCATTGACCGATACCCAGGAACATGTCCGATGTTTCTGGGTATCGGTCACTGGCCATCGTACTTTCCCACAGTTGTGATGCAACAATGAGAACGAAGCAATTATAAGCAGTATATATGATATATATATACATATATAATATATATATAGAGGGGTATGAAAACAAATCATATGGATTCAACCAATCATGGTGCCACGTGACCACTTAACCTTTTGTTCCAATAGGGATGCCCCCATGACTCTTGCTATGCCCATCTTTGGTTCCTTAAATACTGATGGGAAAATCTCGTTTCAGTGGTTACCCTCCAGCAAATAGACATAGATAGATATGGACAATTTTCTATTGATCATCTCCTTGGTTTCCCGCTAAATATTTTCCGTATCTATGTTGACTGACTGGAGGTATATCCACTGGAATACATATGTATATAAATATACATATATATATATATACATGATATACATACATACATACATATATATATGTACATACATTTTTGTTTGATCTTGCACTTTCCCAGCACCGTCTCCACCGTTTTTTTTAATGCTGAGGTGCATAGCTTCCGTCGCGACGCGAATGACGAAGAGCGTGTGGGCATCCATGAGAACCACCTGCTGGGGGATCCCAGTAATCCAGGGATTTGATGGGGGATTCAAGCCATGAATTCATGTGAATTCTTATGACACTAGATTAAATCATGTGTATATATATATTAATACATATACATGTATGTATAGTATATATTAATGTGTATATATATATATACAAAAATATAGGATATACGTATATATATATATATATACGGGTTCAACCCACTAGTACGTAGCTTGAGGAAATGGGAATCTAGACAGCCTTTGGTGATATCAGAATCCAGTTCTTGGGGAGTTTGTGGATCTCCATTGAAATTAGATGGTGGAAGCAACCTCATCAGGGTCGACAAATGGGAATCTGTTGATTTTTTGCCCTTCAAATCCAAGACAACCTACAGGTGTTGGTCGCTTTTCCTACATTGACAAGTCACCACTCGGTCTACAAGTTCAACATATATCCATGTCTACCCCCAAAAAAGCTTCGCCTGCAGATAGGTTCAGCGTCAGTGAACGATGATCTCGTTGTGGAAAACCGAACGCAGTAGGAAGACGAATGGAAACCTGAATGAAAACATCATGAAGAAAGACGTGATGGTTACCTCCCATTGACTATCTAATCGATGTTTTGAACCATGACTATTGTGAACTCAAGATTAAGGAGAAATCTAAATTCCAACGTGACATGTGACTGCTCAAAAGTTATCGATTTGAGCTGACGGATTTTCATCACCAGGACCTTGGAATAGCATACGGAATCAAAGCCGGAGTTGGAATGAGTTGGCCATGGCGCATCGTTTCTTGTTTGAGGCCTTTCTACTACAACAAGTACTACAAGAAGACCTTCAACGTCAAGCACTATGGTGTGGAGACGAACTTAGCACTGTTGTCCTACATCAAGGACGGGAGCTGTGAACATCAGCTTGGTGTTACTGTTTCCTGGGTTGGATGCTTCACCAAAAAAACTTTCAGGTGCACCAAGAAGCGCGAGAGGTAGAGAAATAAGTGGATTTGTCTTAAAATTGGCTTAATCACCACCAAATCCTATGATTTATCGTGGTTTTACCTTTTTTTTTTTGATTTGAACATTTTTTTAATGGCCATATCCGCGGATATCCACAAGAGCCTGAGTACAACTCATCAAAGAAGGAAGACCACTGACCAAGGAAAAGACAATGAAAGATCTAATATATTTTTCCAGGTCTTTCATAGGTTTTTCTTGGATTCCAGACACTTCAATTGATCTAAAAAAAGGCTTTGTCCGAAGTGTTCGCGGGGCAAAACTGCCAAAATCATGGAAAAAATGATGGTCTGTGATGGTTTAGATTTTCATGATATTCCATAAACCATCATAAACCATCATAAACCATCATAAACCATGGGAATATTTCCATATATTCTCATATATTCCCATAATATTCCCATATATTCCCTATGAAAAGTGGCTCATTCATGGCTGGGCTTTCCCCACCCATGAGGACACTGTGCAGGTCAATCCGGAGACATCAGTGCTTCAGGTCGAAAAAGGGAAGCCATGGTGAGTCGAAGCCATGAATGATGGGCAGAAAAACCATAGAAAATGATAGGAAATGGGGATTATTATCCATAGAAGACGTGGATAAAAATATACAATGATTTACAAATGATTTTAATGATTTACCCTTCAGGAATGGTAAAACATGAATGAAACCATGTGGATTTTTCATGATGTTCATCTATCAAACGGATGAGTTTGGATGGTCAGCGTACCACCAACGGACCCACAATTTATAATAAAGCCATCCATTTTTATGGGGTTGATACTTTTGACCCATTTCTTGTGTATATGGGAAACCAATTGTCCCAAAATTGGTTCATTTCCTGGCCCGAATGGTTTCATGTCCTAAGGTGGATGATTCATTCTGTAACGTCATTGGCCGACTGGCAGATTCCATCAATTCCAGCCGGGGGATCATTCCAAAATGCCAAGCCATCTTGCTGAATCTTGCTGAAAAAGTTGGAAAACATTCAGCACAATTGGAAGAAACTTCACCAAGTGGTTGAAACTTCGCCCAGAGCCTTTTAGAAAGGCGATGCTGAAGGAGGATGTCGAGAACTTCGACATCTTTGTGAAACTCACCGAGGCAGATAGCCTCCGGATCCATAGAGCCAGCTGTAGGGGTTGGGTTTTTTCAGAACCTGGCTTGAGAATGATGCACTTGTTTTGAAATTGGGAGCCTTTGTTGGTGAGTTTGAGGGGATGGCCAGTTTTTGATGGTTTTTGGATTTTAAGAGTAATTGGTCTTGGATAGGGTCATTTTCTGCGTGATTTTGAGACAATTTTTTTTTACGCATGAAGACACCATTTGCCAAGTTTAAGGACCATTTTCAGAGTTTGAGAATCGTTATAGTATTGTTATGGTGTATGTTCATAGGGATGTATTGCTATGATCGAAGGAAGTTTAGAAGTCAAACTTCCGACAATATGGACAGATGAAAAGCAGAGTAGGGCAGAGGCAGAGAGAAGAGAAAGATTACAAGAGAGAAGAGTAGAAGAGAAAGAGTCAGAAGAAAGAAGATGCAGATGCGCGAAAAGGTAGGAAAGTCGCGAAACACTGTGTTTTTCCAATGATTTGTGGCTCCGGGGGGTCGAAAAGTAGGCTCGCTAAAGCGGCGGGTGCGGAGCCAGCTGGCCAGATGAGAGATGAAAAATTGCACGCCGTTGTGGCGCGAAGCACATTTCCAAGTGAAAAGGTACAAAACACCTGGGTCTCGGAGCACTTTTGGAAGTTGAGATGTCGAAAAAGTGCACGCGAGATGTCGAAAAAGTGCACGCCGTTGTGGCGCGAAGCACGTTTCGAAGTCAAAATGTAAAAACACACCATGTACGGACCACTTTTGGAAGTTGAGATGTCGAAAAAGCGCACGCCGTTGGCGCGAAGCACATTTCGAAGTCAAAATGTACAAAACAAGTCAGTGTCGGACCACTTTTGGAAGTTGCGATGTCGAAAAAGTGCACGCCGTTGTGGCGCGAAGCAGATTCCCAAGTCAAAATGCACAAAACACCTCAGTGTCGGACCACTTTTGGAAGTTGAGATGTCGAAAAAGTGCACGCCGTTGTGGCGCGAAGCACGTTTCGAAGTCAAAATGTAAAAACACACCATGTACGGACCACTTTTGGAAGTTGAGATGTCGAAAAAGCGCACGCCGTTGGCGCGAAGCACATTTCGAAGTCAAAATGTACAAAACAAGTCAGTGTCGGACCACTTTTGGAAGTTGCGATGTCGAAAAAGTGCACGCCGTTGTGGCGCGAAGCAGATTCCCAAGTCAAAATGCACAAAACACCTCAGTGTCGGACCACTTTTGGAAGTTGAGATGTCGAAAAAGTGCACGCCGTTGTGGCGCGAAGCACATTTCGAAATCAAAATGTACAAAACACACCATGTACGGACCATTTTTGGAGGTTCAGATGTCGTTTCGCGTGGCAGGCGCAAGGGATTGTGGACCTTGTCAAGAGTGAGCAAAACGTGAGGGTTTTGTAGCATTTTCAACTACAACCACCACTACGCCACACTACACTCCAATACATTACACTACACTACAACTACAACTACACCTTCACTACATTTTACTACACTACACTCCACTACGCTACACTGCACTCAATTACACTCAATTACATTACACTACACGACGTTACACTACACTACACTCCACTACATTACACTACATTACATTACGCTACATTACACTACACTACACTACATTACACTACACTACACTACCTTCCACTACACTACATTACACTACATTACACTCCACGACACTACACTTCACTACATTGCACTACAGCTACAACTGCACAACTACACTCCACTACACTCCACTACACTTCACTCCACTCCACTACACTAAATTACACTACACTACACTACATTACACTACACTACACTCCACTACGCTGCGCTACACTACATTACTCTACAACTACAACTGCACAACTACACTCCACTACACTCCACCCCACTTCACTCCACTCCACTACACTAAATTACACTACACTACATTACACTACACTACACTCAACTACACTACAACTACTACGCTTCACTACATTGCACAACACTACCTTACACTGAATGACACTGCACCACAGATAGACAGGTAGACAGGTAGACAGGTAGACAGATAGACAGATAGACAGATAGACAGATAGACAGATAGACAGATAGACAGATAGACAGATAGACAGACAGACAGACAGATAGATAGATAGATAGACAGATAGATAGATAGATAGATAGAGAGAGAGAGATAGATAGATAGATAGATAGATAGATAGATAGATGGTAGATAGTCAGAGAAAGAGAGAGAAAGAGAGGAGACATCAATCACCTTTCGATCCATCCGTGGCTTCGCTCTGCCATCCGTGATTCACAACAACCAACCTTTCCTATAGGTTTCCTATTTTTGAAACTTCCGCCACCGCCTTGTGCGGTACTACTGGTATTATATGTATTATTGACCAGGTTTTCACAATGAGAGAGCCCCAAACTGAAAGGGGTTTGGTGCCGAACAAACACATTTGACCCGTCAAATGGTTCATGCTAGAATTGCAACTTCTCAAAGGGTTCCTTTGGCAGCCTGGTAGGTGCATTGTTTTTTGGAACGCATGTTTTTACTTTCTTGACATAACAATTCACCACAGTTGATATGTCTAGATCAGATATGTCAAGTTGGATGAGACGCCCACCAAGCAGTATTTGGATTTTCGAGGCCGGTCGAGTTTTTGCATGCTTTTCTTAGAGGCTTCCAGTGTTTTGCTTGTGTTTTTCCCAGTGTTGGTGGACCATTCCGATAGGTGGCGCGCAGGGAACGCATGCAGAAGCTGGAACAGGGCGACGAGTCGGGGGGGCCTGGATTCTCATCAGTTTTCCCATCATTGCCATAATGTGGAGTAAATCCACCAGCAACACCTCCCAACAGGATTTGTTATTTACCCTGGACATTCGACAATTTCGAGTATCTGTTATTTTAGGTTCCTAAATTGTTTGGTCCGCTGGTTGTTTGGCTTTGTGGCTTCAATTCCTGGATTGATTTCCTGGTGTCAATTCCCTTGTCAAGGGGGATTCCCATTATATTCCGAGAATTGTTTGATTTTTTGTTCAAAAATTGTTCAAAAAATGAAAGATGAAAGACCTATATTTGATGGAAAACATGGTTTCCTGCAACATTTCCCTACAACCCACCCAATGTCACACATATACACACATATTTATATTTAATATTTATATTTATATTTATATTCATATTCATATTTATATTTATATTTATATTTATATTTATATTCATATTTATATTTATATTTATATTTATATTTATATTCATATTTATATTCATATTTATATTTATATTTATATTTATATTCATATTTATATTTATATTTATATTTATATTCATATTTATATTCATATTTATATTTATATTTATATTAATTATATCTTATATATATATAATGTATATGTAATGTATATGTATTCTACATACATATTGCGCATGCACCCGCGCCCAGGAGCGCCCGGTTACGCTTCGCCCGGCCCGATGAGATCCGACCGGAGCAGCACAAGGACTGGACGCCCCCGCTGGGATGACTGGTTAAAACAGTACCCGGCCTGGTAAACGTTAAGAAAAAACGAACTGGAAAGATCCACCAGGGAAAATTAAGGGGTGAATCCACTATTTCGAGCTGGCCATTTTCAATAGCTATATGTTAAATTACCAGAGGGTAATGACATTTATGATGAGGAATGGGGCATACAAAGTGATATTGGATGAAAGGAAAGTGACTGTCATCATTTTCTGACATATCTTCAAACTTGACATTTTGGTGTAGCAGTACAGCCATACCGGGTATTTGGACAAATGGATTTCACCGCTACAACTTGTAGCGGCCCACTGCAGTGGCCTCCAGGCCCAAATCAAAATTTTTCTGTTTGATGTATGTCTCAGAATGTGTGATATCGCGAGAAAGATGGCTCACACCTCTTGAACATGGATCAAATATGATCAAATCAGATGCAAAAACCAGCCGTGTTTGCCTTCAAACCGATCGGAGAAGCAAACCGTCCCCTCCTTGTCAGGGCTACAAGGGCCAGACAGGGTACAAGGGCCAAACAAGCTACAAGGCAACGAGTCGTGGGAGTGCAGCGTCCCACAATCCCGAAGGAACCGTGTCAAACCTCGCTGTTGATACATGGGGATTGTGGCGGGCTTGGAGCATTTTTGAACACGCTTTACAGTGTCAGATTATTAAAAGATCACTCAGATAATTCAACATAATGGGACAGCTTGGGGGGCCACTGAAGTTTTACCATGGTTCTATTTTAGGGCATGCTCCCACCGGGTGCAGGGCCAAAACTACAAGGGTGCTGGTCGTGGATACCAGCAGAAGGGCGTCTACCAAGCAGGCCATGGGGGGTTCTGATCCCGGAGGATCCAAGCATCCATGTTTTTTCAGATGGGTTGAAGCCTGTTCAAGCCACAGACCATCAATGCTTGGCTACCCAAAAAATTTAGATATGTGGCCTGAAAGTTGGGTATGTTCTCTGTCTGCTCCGACTGTCAAAACATAATCCAAGACCTTTCGGTTCCTTTGATCGGGGAGCGGTCACAGCCAGGTCAGCAACCCCTCAATGCAGCTTCAAACACCGTGGGTCGTTCTGAACACTGAACTATATAGTATAGATTGATTCCAGGGTCATTATGTGAGAAACCATGGTGTTACATGTTTTTAGCACCACATATAAGGCTTTTTCTGTAGAGGTTTTTCTTAAACTATCTACAGTTCTGGTATTTCCAAACAACAGTTGACCATGGGATTGAACGCTTCGTCTCGACGTGAAAATGATCTGCCGAGAATTTCCCATGGCCAATCATGGTCCAAAACGGAGCCTTATATTCAAGACATGAACCCTGGTACCCCTGGTACCCCTGGTACCCCTGGTACCCCTGGTACCCCACTTCGAGTCACACTGGTCTCCTTTTCTGGGCAGTCTCTCCCCAGTCGAAAAGCGCGTCCAGCCGCAAGGCTTCAAAGGTTATGGCTCGCGATGAGCTCTTCAGGGCTCGCCCAGGTGGTTACTTTAGATGGTGGTTCAGCAGCGTTTTCAGCGGGACATTCTGAGTGTCCAGCCATTGTTTGAGCCGTTGAAAAAGGGGCTGAATGGCATACCTCACATTCACAAAATCATCACGGAAAAAGTCCGACCTGACCCTAGTTAGAGGAAACACTATCCTAATATATCCTGATCATTTTTCATAAAATGAGTCCGCTGCCATCAAAAGTGAACTGCTTCTAGCTTCCTTTGAAAAGGAAGCGTGGCCTGTCAGTCACGCTGGGCGCAGTGACGTCCCCGCCGTGTGAGGGGAGTGTCGCATTTTTGGAGAAACAGGCTGTGTGCAGCCCCGTCTCCAGAGTGACCCAACGGAATAGCAGCTTTGAATAGCATTTATTTATACCCTCTGGTTATTTAACATAGCCATGGGAAATGACCCATTTATAGATGGTTTACCTATTAAACATGGGTGGATTTTCCACGGCTATGTTAAATAACCAGATGGTAATCATTTATATACCAATCTGTCTAGGTTTTTTCCCCCCTAATGATTTGGGATGATGATCCCTCTGAAAATTCTGAGGCTTGGAACGTTGAGGTTAGAAATTGTTATCTAAATATATGTTAGATAGAAACCATATGTCTCCAATCCAAAAACGATTTCCTTGAGGTTCCAACCCTCAATTTTTGCTGATGTATTTATAGTAATATGGTTTTGTCCAAAAATATGTCTCCAATCCAGGTCGGCAAATTTCATGGGGATCACACGGAAAGAGACACAGCATGAGACTAGACCCTGGTTGAGTAATTGGAGGGATTTGGCCCCCCCCCCAATGGCAATCATCTGCTACTTGAATGCTACTCCAATCAGCCCAGGGGGGTATTTTTTTTTTCGGGGGTTGGACGTTATTTATTTTATCACCTCAAAATACGTACCAGGTAGGTGTGCATGTTTAGTCCACCAAATATGGTAGCAAACCAACGGACTTTTCTGAGATTGACCAAGGGCCGCTGAAGATCACCCTATTTCACCTCAGCCAAATCTCTTGGCAACACATGGGAAGCATTGGGAAGCTATTTCAACAACAGGTAAAACGCAAACGCGATGTTCATGGGACCATTTGGATGCTGTTTGATGCTGTTTGGTTTCAAACTTCAACCCGGGATGATCCACGCTGAAGCGCTGCAGCTTGTGGCTCGATAAGTCGCTGAAGCAGATCTCGAGAGCTAAAGAGCCCCCGGACCAGTGCAGTTGGCAGTGCAGAGCCGTCTCCCAATTGGGAACCCCTCAAACCAAGGGTTTTCAGTTTCAGCATAACAAGTCGACCATTTTTGATGGATCAAAACTGGCCCCGGCCACGTGCGAAGATGAGCTCATGAACCAGCACCAGAGTGTAGAAGTCTTCACAAATTGGACACCTCAAGGTTTGGTCAGGTGTGCGCCCCTTCAAGCTGAAACATCGCATGGCCGGCCATGGTCTCTTGTGGGTACTGACCTTGGGACACCGCAGGTTTGATATATTGATGTTGATGCAAAGATATGATATATACAGATACATATATATACATATATATATACACGTACAACAATAGATAAATGGTATACTGATATCATTAAAAAATAAAGCGGAGTTAACAATAGCGCACATTTGCAGAAGGCAGCAAGCTGCAAGTCTGCGAGCGGAGGTCACTCAGCATTGTTTTGGGATGTTTTGGGTTAACCCATGTTATCCAACTGGGAAATTTCTCTTGCCATGTTACATATTTGATGAAACAAGAGGGTACGCTATAAAAGCACCCCCCATCACTATCATCACTGTGTGCTTTTCATAGCGTTTAAATTGCGATCCGGCGGCCAGTCGAGTCATAAAGCCACGATCCATCAGGCTGGTTTTTCAGGGAAACATATGGAACACATGCCAGAAACGTCCGGGTTTCCCATGGCTTTGTACATGGTGAAACCTCGGAGATTTCCCTGGTGTTAAAATGTTCTCCCGATATCAATGCTGGTTCCCAGGACTGATGAACTCATCACAAAATCCCGGTTATGCGCAGCATGTATTACCACTTCCCAAAAATGAGGAAATTCTACAGGAAATGATGTTTTTTTGTATCCACTTCGTGACGCAACGCCAAGCTCCAAGGTGATTCTCACCTGTGCAGTGGGTCAGGTTCAGATCATTCCACAGGTGGCTCCGGTGTGGGTAAAAAAAACCAAGGGTCCAAGTTAAAAGGAAGAATAGACTGGCATGGGATGGTAATCTACTATAATCTACTTACTTATTTTTGGGGTAGGCCACGTTCAACTTTTTTTGACTCATCTGTCATTTCTCGCTGCTACAGTGTTGGTATGAAAGCAGCTACTGTAAAGGTAGCCAAGGCGGTTGAGAATGAATGCCCAACTCTAAAACTTAGCTTTCTCACGAAAGCTTGTGTTTCTTTGGTGTTTCTTTGGTTGATGTGGTTATGGAACAAGACTACTCACTTCTGCTTGGTGACATCCTGAATGCTATGGCTCTGAAGGGAGGAGCTTGGGCCCGCGGTTTTGCGCGCGGGGCGCCCCGCGCATGGGGAAGCCTCAGGATGATGAGGCGTAGCGGAGGGACAAATCCGGGATAGAGCTGCACTATGGCTTACATCTACATAAGCAATCATAATTATACATAGTTATAATGTAATGTGACGTAATATATTGTATTGTATTGTATTGTAGTGTAGTGTATTGTATTGTATCTGCATATATACATATAGTATATAGATATAATTACATACTGTAGTGTGGTAGACCCAACAATACATCGCTGCAGCCGTAGGCAGTGCGTAATGGCCTGAAGGTCTTTGTCGGTGGCTTGCCCGAGCGGACGCCCGAGTCAGAAAGCCCAAGCTGCTGTGGGGTTGAGGTCGACACATTTTAGCCATTTGTGACAATCCCATAAACTCATATTATATATGATCATTTATAATCATATTATAATCATATATGATTGTATATTACTATACATGATTATATCTGATTATGCATATATGATTTTATATGATTATATGATTACATTACATATGACTGCATCATTATAATTATTATAAATGACTACCATAGAATAATATGATATAATCATGTATAATGACATACAACCCATATAGATTAATATGGCCTTCTGGTCGTAGGTTGAGCATCCAAGTTGGCCATAAAACTGGGATGCACATCGAAGAAGATTTGGCTCATTGGACCCGGCTTCTTCCGATTTTGCTGTCTTGGGGATGCACTGGAATTTTGCTGTTCAATCCGAACGCATCTCTGTAAATGTGCTATATACAAGGAAGCAACACAAAACTTGCAACTATATGTGCCTATATATATAAATACAGTATATATATATATATGTGTATATATATGTATATATATATATATGTATATATATATGTGTATATATATATATGTATATATATATATGTATATATATATATATGTGTATATATATATGTATATATATATATATGTGTATATATATATATACATGTATATATATGTATATATA